AACTCGGGACGAGGCACGAACAATACGTGCTCTATAAAAGATCGAATAACATCGCCGACATAATTAAGCTGTTGCCTTTAATTGGAGCAATGTTAAAGCCCTCCCATGCGTGAGGGAAAGAGAACCAGGGAGAAAGTCAAAGTATACAATCGAACCGCCGCTGTTTGGCAAGGCTCGAACCTATCGAATAACTTGCTGCGCGTCCCAAGTGTGTTCCGATGTGCAAAGGGCGAAGTGTATAGATTCACGTAGCCAACTATAACACAACAGCTAGCTCTTGTGTACACCACTTCAATAATATTTTTATTGCGAGCGCGGAGAACTACGAATTGCAAATAATCCACTTTCAGCGAGAACTCTTCCTGATTTCTGAAAATTCTATAAAGATACATAAAAATTTCGATTGTATAATTTGCGCATTCGAAAGGGACATTGCGGCCAAATGTGGACGTAGCACGAAGCTAATCACGTGGTCGCGCATTGACATGCCATTTGAGAAAAAAGTAATTTTTGAATTTAATAAAGCAATGATAACGCCTCGCGGGCATTCGTGCGTAGGGTGAAAAAAAAGTATCTGACGCGGATGTACACGCAGTTCGAATTTGGTAGCTGCCCCACTGTGTACTATCTTCCCCCGCGTTTTTGTTGTAATCTCCCGAGGGATGCATGAGCGCACGTACGCTCGGAGCTCCGCGCGTATATCGAGTGACCCTCGTCGGGATACGTTCGCAATATACCCAAGAGTTTACAATTCCGGAGTTTATAAGTCTCCCTCTATATTCTTACTATTATGCCGCATTCTATGATACATTCTGTACGACTTAATAAAAGGATATTTACTGCCAAGGATGTGTAAGCAAATCCTTTTTTACTTCGCTTCCTCCGTCTCGTGTTATTGCTGCAAACATAATATTTCTGAAGTAGAAGAAGAAATTTCACATCGATAAAACTCTTATTTCATCTTTTCATTCAAATCCAAATAATTTGTTCAACAAATTACGTACTATAAATAATTCTTTTTTGTATAAAATTAAAATTGTTAATAATTTTTTATTATTCTAGTTTGACTGCTCACGCAATGTGACTTATTACGCCGACTTAAGCAAGAATGTCGCGTATAAATTCGCTGTAGTAGCTAGAAGAATCAATTTCGCTTCATAAAATTGTGTTTCCGTTTATTAGTGACAGTCAAAGTGTTTGGCCAAGCGCCAAAAATTCGTGGAGCTCTACGTGATCGGAATTTAGGGCTTGTATCGCCGATGTCGACAGGCGACTACAGTGACGCTAACTAACGTCCGTAATCAAGTAAGCAGTTTAACTGAACGATCCAGTTAGGACGACTCAGCCCTCCGTATGTGACGAGGCGTCACTAATTGGTTTACAGATCTTCCGAGCCGAAGTCGGTGCTCAAAGGTCTCTCCGGTTAGCTATGTCGGCCATCCACGTATTACCGTTCAAACCGGCTCGTCGCAAGTATTTAATTAATGCCGCGATACCGGCGCGAACATCGTATCTGTGCGCCGATCAATAATTTTCACGAACGGTAAGACGCGAGTAGCGATTCGCTGTACAGTTATTCCCCGCATTCCTTTCGCAGTTCTCTTCTTCTCTCGCGAAATTTAGGAAAGATGATGTTGAAAAGACGACCGTACGATATCGCACGTTCTCGAATGAGATATATTTCACGTTAACGAGATTTGCAGTGGCTGCAACCAAGAATTATATCTGACACGTACTGTTTTTTCAGCGCGTCGAGTATCTCTATATCGTAAAAATTTTTATCGCGACTTACTCTCTCCGTGAGATTTACACTCCGGCGAACTGTAAATACCACATAAAGAGAGATAAGTAAAATTATTTTTAGGCTTTACGTCGCAAGAAGATGCACAATTTATTTATCGTGCCGTGCAGCGAATATCCATTACGGACACATCACTGGCGCACACTCCGGATGTGCTATTTGTGTTAGAAGCACGACGCGGAGAGGGACACTTAAGGACCGAACGTCAAGCCGCTTTTCTACTAAGTGAAAAATGTCAACCGTATGCAAAACAAATTGCGCGACAGCTTTCGCGGCGTTTTCATTATCCCTCTGCAACCGGGGCGACGGTCTAACCGGGTTTTTCCCTCGCTCGAAAAATTTAATTCTAGGCTGGAAAGTCCGCCTACGAATGCTCGATGTCGTTTAATATCACGGTCACGGAGGAGTATGACGCACCGTCACCTGTGGTCGGTCCTTTAAAAATGATTAACTCGCTAGAGAAGCGAGTGTTCCCCGCCGCACCATTGCCGATGAAAAATGGGAGTCGTCCGCTCTTAGGACGAAACAAAGGAGCCATTAACTCCCCTTGCGCTGACACGGTGACCGCGAATCTTTATCTTTAAACAATACGTTATATGAATGTTTCGAATAAACAAAGCGAACTTTCGAAGAAGGAAACGTATAATGCAATACACGAAGTTCTTACAATTCTATATTCTGTTGAGCGGATTTTATAAATTGCAGATTTTGGCCTAAACATTTTTAGTAATTGTATATTTTTTAAAAATAAATTATAGTATCTATAATATATAAAATTTCAAAAAAAGATTAGGTTTAGTTAAAGCTATTAATTTTTAGTTTTGCTCCAAACCCAATTTGTAGATTGAAATCGCAGCTTCAACGCGAAAAAAATTTAAACGGAAGATTTATCGATTTTCCATCGACTGTTAATTATCGTACGCTTCGTTGTGGTCGTAAGAAACCGAAGCAGGTCGTACTGACAACCGATTTGTCATGTTAACGAGCGTCTATTAATATTCTCGCTTGTCGCGGCTGCAAACGCGTCACCAATGTGACATTGTGCATAATTTTAACATCAAACACGCTCATTAACGACAAAATTTCATTGAATGAAACTGGTTGTTGCTAAGATTGAAGGCCGAGGTCTTTGAAACGAGAGACTACCTGTTGGCAGTCGCGAATTATTCGCCAATGTGAACGTCGATTCCTTTCGAAGCCTCTTATTTCAAGGAGCTTTGTTACTTGGGCCTTATTGAATTCGTTATGCAAGTTTTATTCTCCGGAATATTTACTAATAATCCCAATGCGCGGAAGATGAATGTTCAGTGCTCTTAGCGATCGATTTTGATCTCCATTATATTTTTACGATTTCGCTTAATTTGTTATCTTATAACAATTTGTTTTACTAATTCGATGTATATGTGTGAATTCTCATTAATTGTGCAATCGATCTATTTTATAATCTTTGTTATAAATAATATAAACATTGAAATATTCATAATAGTATTGCTTCTAGCAAGTGATTGTAGCAACATTAAAAATTGATATACACAAATCGCTATTCTCTGTAATTCTAAAATGAATATCGGAAATAAGTACATCTTATCGCATATAATATTGCGAATATATAAAAAGGTATTGATTCCGCTGACAATGAGAGTATCGACGAGATTTCAGAAAACGCAGCTTTCATCCCTCTGTTCTTTGTTCGGCAACAAAGCTGCCGCAATTTTTGGGATATCGCCTAACGAGTGGCTGATGCCCAATTAGGTGCCGAAGTTTCTTTCCAAGTCCGCACCAGACGCGCAAGTTCGGAAACCAGAAGCTTTCTCTCGATTCGTCTGACACGCGAAACATCAGCTATTCGAGCCGCTCTTACCCTCCGCCGTCCAGTGCGGCTTAATGAAAACCGTGATTGAAGCCAGTGCACGGATTGCCGATCGATCCGCGGCGTATCACGGGGAGGGTGTCCGAGAGCCAATCACCGCGAACCGTCAAAGGGACGATAATTTTTTTTTCGTCCCCCTTTCGTCCGATGGGATTCATGAGTTGACTTTGCTCAGATCGTACTATTACTCGTGCCGCTGTGTGTTTGCTGTGTGTCTGAGCCATTAGGGCGACCAGAATGCAATAATAATAATGCTGCTGAGGGTCTGCGGGGAAAAAAATTCTGATTGAATCGGTACACGTACAGAAATCAAAATCGAATGTCTTCGTTTGTTTCAATTTTGTTAACTGTGTCACGGCGTAAGTTGTATCAGAGCAGCGTTTTTTTTACTACAACTTATAGTTTAGCGAAGCGATACAGTTAAATGATTTTCAAAATTATTGCGCGCCTTTCAGTTTTAATTACTTTGAGAGTATTTTTGCAAAATCTCGCGTCTCTTGTCTCATCTTCCAGCTTGCCGATCACATGTGTGTGATTGCCTACGCTTTACTCCACAAATCTGTAAGAAGGATCTGTAAAAAGTCAAGCATTCTTCATATATTTAAGTTTTTATTTGAGGGGTTGTAGCAACGATTACGACGATTGAAAATTTAGTCCATTCTGCTAATGCAATGCAATTTTGATATTGCGTGACGATGCGAAAACCTTTGTGCTTCAAACGTGAAGATATATCTCTTATCTTTTTCCTCTCTTTTTTACGGTATCCACATCACCGGGATTCAGCACTAAATTAAATTGACCGACACTTTGTAGCTGGATAGGCATCGGCTTTTGTTTACTCCGGGGTACCGGTATTGATCTCCGACGTCTTTAGGGAGGACTCCCATTTCGACGAATGACGGATAATTTCTCCTTTTTCCCTGTCGCGGAAAAGTGAGCGCCGGTTCGTGAAACGGGCCGGATACTCCTTGGAGACTTCGGCGTCCCGCGCGTTTCTCCTCCTACGTTTTATTAACTCTCGGTCGATTAGTCGACCTCGAAGTACCCCACCTTCGATCGACCGTTTGGGATTTGCCGTCGAATCGTTCTCTTCTTTATACGTCGTAATTGCGGATCCGCGTCGCGAAAAGACATATCGTCTCTAAATCGTAAAAAACAAATTATCTTCGGTTTAAATATAAAAATAGTAAATCTTTTTTTTATCCAAACGATTATTTTGTATGAAAAACTAATTAAGATACTGTTTGTATTTTAATTTTGATGGTAAAGAAAATACATTGTTCACTCTTTTAACAATATTTTTATTATATTTGTTTAATAGGCAATAACATCACATTAATATCATTCTCTACTTTTTATTATTAGATTCGTGCAATATCTTTTTATTATTAATCACTTCTCTGAATTATCTAAGCACATCGAATCGTATATTTTTATTAGAATATCAAGATTGAGAGAAAAAAGAGGAAGTGCTGCAAAAAAATAATTATATTAATTTTAATTAATCATTTGCAATTCTTGCAAGTCTTGTAGTTTTTGCAAGATGACACAACAAAGATAAAAATACCACCTTATTTGTGTAATGAAGCTGATCTGCAAAAGTATCAGAGAAACGCTTAATGAGATCGCTTTATCTGTAATCAGGTACAATTATGATATCAACCTGTTTTTACATAGCATTATTATTACCGTAATTATGCAATTGATTACCATCAATTAACTACTAAATAACGGTAATCGTTTTATTTAAGTTTGCAGCAAGAGAGCAACGCCGGCCAACGTCCATTTAGCCGGTTTGTCCTTCGTTTTCAAATTAAACGTCCACACATATGTCGGGCCACGCGTACGTGTCTTGTACACCGGGCATTCGTACATGTTCCTCAAATCCTGTTTGTCCTGCGTGATCGCACGTACATTAATCACCGGCATCGCCGGATATAATTCCTTGGGCCGAGAGTCGACGATGATTCCAGTTTGGACGTCCCATCGCGCTCCTTCCATAAATATTCCATGGACGTAGGCCCCGTCCCTCGGAGCTGACCTAACGCGAACGAATCAGGAAGGAAGTCACTTTTCGGCTCGTACACGGTGAATTAAGTTAACGAGCGATAACTATTCTATCCTCGTGATCGCGCGTACGAAACTCCAACTTCCGTCTGATTATCTTTGCTACTCACGTGAATTCCTCCTTGTTTTTCTTAGTCACGTCGCATTGGAGGCACATTTTATCGAGCGGTAACTCGTGTCGCCTAGCTGTCGATTGCATAATGGCGGTGAGCAGCGACTGGGGATTAAAGAACCCGGCGAGCCACACCGATGCCGGTAACTGCAAAAAAGAAAATTAATTATTTCGTTGTATCAAGATGGATGATTATATTGTTGCAGGTATACGCACGACGAAATCCGTGGACCATGTTTCTAGCTCTCGGATTCTAAGCAGCAAGTCGACGAACCAAGCGGTTAAACCCAACAAAGACGGATAAGCCCTGCTGGCCCACACGGGTGGAACCTGATCGAAGAACAACGCGTTCTCCAGATTCTCCATGTCCGACGTTATGGTGAGTTCACCTTTGAGACCTAAATCTAGCTCGCGCAACGATCGTTTCAGCTCCGTCGTCAGATAGTTCATTCTCTCGCACTCTTGAAAGGCGACAATCACATAAGGCGTGCGCTCTTCCACCTTCCCCATAATTTCCGTCATATTGAACTCTTCGGGTAGCTTCTCTATTATTTCGTCCAGCACTTGTTTCACCTGCGAATTAAAAGAGCACACGAGCATTATTTTAATATATTTCTAAATCAGTAGAATTTATACCTTTTCTTCTCTGGTGACGGTTTGACCTCCCGAGCCACCAGTATCGCGTGGCTGCATCTCGAAGACCGTTTTGAACAGATTCTCGGCTGTCATCGTCAGGAAGCCGATCTCCGCATTCGGATGTAATCCGTATAAATACGGAGATTCCGCCGGTATGGCTTCGTCGATGTACGTATGATAACCGACTAAATCCGTGCTTGGAGGCGCGGGGAAACCTTGAAATGTAAGATAACTACAATATTCACGAAGGGCACAGAAGTTTATTAATTAATTTCGAACAGTCGAATTGTTATTAGCTTACCTGGTGCGAGCTGCAACTCCCCATCTATCAGATCAGGCTGCATTAATTCTTCCAGATAGGATACGCAAAGTCTTCTGTCCCAATCGTCCGTTATGTGACCGCCATACATGATTTCTCCAAAAAGATATCTGTTTTTTTAAAATATACATTATAAAATTTTTGCAAGATAATTTTATTTTAAATTATACATTAATGTATACAGCGCTACTTAATTTATTTATCATAACTTTTAATGAGTTCGATTTAAAAATTCGTATTCTTCACACATTTTAATGAAAAAATGCGATTATATTAACCTTAAATCTTCCCAAGGGACTTTTGGACTCGCTTCTAAATAATTATAGAGAACACTGACACTGATGTTCAGATCTCCCACGTTGAAGGGATATATTTTATTCCAACCTTGGGGTCCGAATTTACGACGTTCCGCAACGACAGCGTGGAAGTAACACAAAGAGAATAAAATTGCTTTGAACTCGGCTTCTTTGGTGCACATTTCTAAAGTCTCTTGAGTAAAATTGTCCAGAGCTTTATGCAAATTAGCTTGCATACCGGTGGGCGGTTCATTTGTGATTTTAATTGATGATTCCAGAATACCCTACAAATTATTACGAATAACATCGATAAAAAAATTATCTGTGATTTATTATATTGTTTTATATTTTCTTTTTTTTTGAGGAAATTAAGAAAATTTAAAAGTAAAATTAAAGGCATAATTTGTAAGTTGTAGAAAGAGTATATTTAAAACGTTACTTAATCTTACTTAAAATATGATAATATTGCGAAACATTCTTACTTGAGGTATTATATGGCCGGCTGGCGTGCTAGCCGGTTCTGCGCTCATAAACATTCTGTAATCGGCATGAGAACCTTCCGCGGCCATTTCCAATTTTTTCTCCAGTAATGGCAACCACTTTTTTACCAAATGTATATTTTGCAATACCACCCAGTGACCATTTTTTGAGGCCACATCCATAGCCTGCTCGGCCACTGTCTCTTGTCCTTGACCAAGAGATACATTATGGAAGTTTTGATTATCCGACGTGAAACCAAGGCGTCGACCTAGATCTTCCACATCCTGAATTCAGCGATATACGTTAGATTTTCCGTCTGACTGTCAGTGTTTGATAAAATTTCTATTTTTGAAATTTAATACACATTTCTTTATCTGATATGTTTTATTCATTCGAACACTTTACAAATAATTATCAAAAGTTTTACTTTAAAAAGTGTTATTCATGAAGAATAGATAGAAATTCACAAGACACTCCACGATTACCTTTAATGGATTAACTCCAGGTGACAGAATAAAGAAAATCGGGGTGCTCGGGCTGGTTTCCTCGTAAGATTTTGCAAACTCCACTGTTCTCGCTTCGATGTATTTCCCACCGAGCTTTTCCTCGATAAATGCAGCAATGGCGTATGTCATCCTGTCCGGTCTCAGAGCTCTCAGCATGCATAGACGTTGTATAGCCGTTTTATTCTTCCACTCCTGGGGAAACTTCTCGCGCTCCGGGCATTCGCACTCGACGAACTTTTTCCAGCGCTTGACGGAGCTCTCGATATCCCGGTCCAAATTCCTTCAAACAAGCGAGACGGTGAGAAGTTGAAACGACAAGGGGGACAACAGTTTCTCATCCCACGTACCGAAACTCTTCCCTCGTAGCGAGGCTTCTTATGCCGCCCCAACTGGTGTTGGTGAGAAAATCGACCGGCGAGGTGACGTGCGGCGTTATAGGAAATCTTAGGAGAAAGTCCAGCTCGCTGGCCGTAACTTCGTTCCTCGTCAATAAAATTTGGAACGCCATTTGCGAGGCGAAGATCAGCTTGTCGCACTCAAACAGCCCTCTGCTCG